CCTCTGCCGATCAGGCAACTCAGCTTGGTTTGTCAGAGCTTGAATCATCAGAGGCATTTAAGAGAAAGAAACTTTTTTTCTTTTAAATGGCTCTGACGATCCCAGCTGAGTTGACTGATCGTCAGAGGGTTTTTAAAAAACCCTCTGACGATCAGGCAACTCAATTGGGATCGTCAAAGGCATTTAAAAGTAAAAAAAAAAAGCCTCCGATGATCGCACGGCTCAGCTGGGCATGGGGGGGGGCCCAGGGATTTTTGCTACCGGTTCTCCGAACCACCCGCCTCCATCGCTACCGGATCAGGTGATCTGGTCCGAACCGGGAGCATTTCACCCCTGGGCGAAAGTGATTGAAGACTTGATGTTATTCATTCCCTATGTCATTTAGCTGCTTTGATCATTTTTCTTCTCCTTTGGGAGACTCATGACTATATTCACCCACATACCTACTCATTTATCTGAAGATCTTTGCAAAGCACGGAGTCAGAATATCTAGTTCTGATATAGTCCATGTGGTATTGAATAAAACAAAGCAGGCCCCGTTTTGGGAAGATATGGTAGCTTGCTCTTTCGGGAGTGGCATGGTAGCTTAGTGGTGAAGATGCTCAACTCCCACTCAGAAGGTTGAGAGTTCAATCCTAGGTAGTGACAGATGTTTCTCTCTTAGATGTTTCATGCAAAGAAAAAAATATCTGTTGTGAACTCCACGTGGTGTCAGGAAGGGCATCCGGCCAGTAAATGCTCAGCTCCATCCAGTTGCCCCAAATAAAGGGATTAGAGTCGTAATAAAGGGATTAGAATCGTAAATAAAGAGTCGTAAAATGGCAGCTTTTTTATGGAAGCTTGCTCTTTCACACCCCAATTTTCTAGATTTGCGTAACATGAATCATAAGCTAGCTACATGGCTCGATTTAAACAATGCAGTGAGTTAAAAAGTGCTTTGTTAGTTTATAGTTCAGTTTAATTCAGTTCAGTTTAGCATGATAGCCTAGCCACTGTTCTTTATCTCTGACTTTTCTTCTTTGGACAAGATCCACCGGCGTCATAAGCAGAGCAGCTGTATTAATTAATATGAAGGAACTTGGAGTTTCCTACAGAGTGAGCTAGGCTCTAGCATCAATGCTTGGTACATATCGAGCTGAATGTAAACCAATTACAACCAGTATGAACCAAACCAATTACGAACAAATCTTCCACATCTTTGGTGCCTTCCAAATATGTGAATGTGGATTTCCAGAATTCTTTGACCAGGGTCAACACTGATATGAATTGTAGACTTGAAATCCAATGTCTGGAAGATCCCCAGGTTGAGGAACACTCTTCTTGTCCTCTGGTGATGGTCATTTTTCATAATGTCAAGATGGCAGTAGGATTTATCAAACTCTGGGTGAGAGACACTATATCATTCATCAATGATGTTAAGCAGGTAAATTTCAAAAGAATAGAATAGAATAGAATAGAATAGAATAGAATAGAATAGAATAGAATAGAATAGAATAGAATAGAATAGAATAGAATAACAGAGTTGAAGGGACCTTGGAGATCTTCTAGTCCAACCCCCTGCTTAGGCAGGAAACCCTACATGACTTCAGGCAAATGGTTATCTAACCTCTTCTTTAAAACTTCCAGTGTTGGAGCATTTACAACTTCTGGAGGCAAGTTGTAAGAGATGTGGGCAAATCAATTTAAGTTCCATCCATTTCACTTTCACTTCCATTTGAGCATTTACTTCCACTATTGCCCCTGTTCAGGGAAAAGCACTGTCTCTCATCAGCTGATACACAGTTCAAAGCAAACAGAAAGCAAGGTTCTTTTTAAAAGCCATCCTTTCTATATATATATATCTTTGAATGACATCTGTCTTTTTTCTTAGCATTTTTGCCATTATAATTGCCAAATTTCTTTCTGAGCGTAAAAAATCTTGTAAAAATAGATTGCATTTTAAATTGTACTTCAGACTTCCCTCTAGTACAATTTAAAATATTGATTATTGTTTCAATATGCATGGATATGCGCATACATATATTCATATTTGTATTGCTGAATTTTGATTTGTGTTCTGGTAGTGTATGCTGTTGTTTTGTTTTTGAATAAGTCAATGCTTATATAAGTCCTGAACTCATTTAAAGCACAAACTTGTTCACACATATCACTCATCGGCTGAATGAGTTTCTCTCATATATTTTTATACACATTTTCTCTGGGAAAAAATGCACATTAAAATGCATTATTTTAATGAGAAGAACAGCATGAAAATAGTTTAGAAGTGTGAAAACCAGTGAATAACAAATTTCTGAAGAACATATTAATCTTGGAAGTTGGCATATCTGCCCTTTCATATTAGAATGAACAGAGGAAGCATTCTGAAGCATCTTTGATATCAAAAGGAAGGAGAATTTCTGTTTTTCTTTCACACTTACAAAAGAAAGAAACCACAAAGCACAAAATGAAGTACTTTCTTGAAGGCACTTTTTCCATGCAATGAAATAGGCTTTGCCTGGCCATTTTACTGTCTGAAGTGCAAAACAAAATCTTCCCCTTATAAACAATAGTTTATATTGTTGTTTATATTGTTTATATTGTTTGACTATATCATATAATCAAATCTTACTTCAACACGAAGAAACTACCTCAGTTACAAGGAAGGCTTTATTCTTTAGCTCACTTTCTGCCAAGTGACATCAACTTCCTGAAGTAGCCATCACACTCTGCTTAATCTCAGGGCTGGCCTTGGAAATTATAATATTCAAGAACATTATCTGGAAATTAAAATATGAAAAACATCTTATGAAACCCTATGAGGTTTGCCACCACAAACAAAAAAATATGACGAGAACATTTAATATTTAGTGGGTAGCACAATGCCAAAAATTCACTTTGATCTATTTGTAATTCCTTTTATTTTTTTAGAGCTGCCTGTGAACAAAAGAATTTTTAAAAGAGTTATTGTCTTGCCGGTATCTGGTTGATTCCTTTTTCTGCTGAAATATTGTTTTGTTGTATACTTAAACTTTCCTCAGATCCACTAAAAGATGATGCAATGCCAGCTAATATAAATTTATGTATTTCACAATTGATATTTCTGTTGTTGATTTGTACATTTTCATTTCAGCCTAAATGTTGGGGTTTTTTTCTTCCCCCTGCACATGAAACTCTCTATTCTAACAGGATTTAACCTGGCACTTGTGTCATTAAATGCTTAACTGCTGGCTAATGTTTGAGACTGTGGAAAACACTAGCAACGATGGAGCTTTCTGTAGTAGGCTATAATGCAGGGGTGTCTAAATTTTAAGACCTGTGGACTTCAACTCCCAGATCCCCTCAGCCAACATGGCTGGCTGGGCAGTTCTGGGAATTGAAGTCCACAGGTCTTAAAAATGCCAAGGTTGGACACTCTGCTATAATGATTGATGTACAGTGGTACATCGGTTAGTTATTTGGAGGAAACAGCTGAATTGAGTCTGAAGAGTGATGATAGAGATGCTTTTTAGGGGAAACTCATGAAATGATACAGAATCTTAGGCAGTCAACATTACAAAAAGAAAGGCAGGGAGGGAGGGAGGAGGGGGGAGGGAGGGAGGGAGGAAGGAAGGAAGGAAGGAAGGAGGGAGGGAGGGAGGGAGGGAGGAATGGTTTTCCTTCACCATGTTTTGTCTAAACAAATATTCAACTGGATCCCTAACCCTATCAACTTGGGACATAAACATTGGCATACTTAACACATTTCTGAGCCTGTTATGCTACTTTGTAGTTCAGCTCCCTTTATTCCCAAATCAATTCAGTGATTGCTGATACTTGTTGTTGGCTGGGACATCCAGAGCACTGAAAGGGAAAAAGGATCAACCAGTTTTATTTCACAGCTCCAGCAGATACATATTCCAGCAGTGAATTGGCACTAGGACTGCCTGCAGACTATGGCAAAAAATGTCAAGATTGTGATCACATGTATGCCACAGATCAGATGTGACTGTCACATTATGACTTCCATCTTGACTTTTTGGATTGTATCCAGTAGATATCAGCATGGTTGCTACGGAGAGAAAGGATCAGAAATAGGGGAAACTAATTTCATACTTTCATATCTTACTCTTGAGCAGGTGGCCCTGGTACTCAGCAATGAGGAAAATCCTTAAGCAAGACACAAGAGAACCATTTGTGAGCCCGATTGGAGTTATCATACACAAAATGGCCCCATTATTTACAGATTAACAGAGTTGGAAGGGACCTTGTAGGCCATCTAGTCCCAACTCCTCACCCAAGCAGGAGACGCTATATCATTTCTGACAAATGGCAATCCAGACTCTTCTTGAAAGCCTCCAGTGATGAAGCTCCCACAACTTCCAAAGGCAAGCTGTTCCATTGCTTGATTGTTCTCACTGTCAGAAAATTTCTCCTTATTTCTAGGTTGAATCTGTCCTTGGTCAGTTTCCATCCATTGTTCCTTGTCTGGCCTTCGGGTGTTTTGAAAAATAGCTTGACCCCTTCCTCTCTGTGGCAGCCCCTCAAATATTGGAACTCTGCTATCATGTCTCCCCTGGTCCTTCTCTTCACTAGACTAGCCATGCCAAGTACTTGCAACCGTTCATTGTATGTTTTAACCTCCAGTCCCCTAATCATCCTGGTTGCTCTTCTCTGCACTCTTTCTAGAGTCTCAACATCTTTTTTATAGTGCGGTGACCAAAACTGGATGCAGGATTCTAGGTGTGGTCTTACCAAGGCTTCATAGAGTGGTATTAGTACCTCACTTGATCTTGATTGTATCCCTCTATTATTATCATGGCACACAAGGTACCGGGCTGGTGATTTGCAATAAAGCATGCCTATCTCAAGTGCAACACTTTTTTCATTCTCAGACACACTACCCCCCACCCCCCGCCCCTAGAATGGGAATTATAATGGTTTAAATGTTGGGATTATTAGAGGGAAGAAAAGATAATAATCATGAGCTGCTAGCATGCCCGTGAGATAGGATAGAACTATAAAGAAATAATCAAACGCTAGGGTTAAAACACACAACATGATTTCCTTTTATTTAATTGTTTAATCAGTTTACATTCCACAACTGACAGTTTACTTTTTCTCTTTTTTTTCCATAAACAAATTGCTTAATTACCAGACAATATTGTAAATCAGTGGAATTACAGAATGTCCTGCGAATTTGAAAAGAAAAACAAAAAATTAAAAAAGCAAGATGCAGCCAGTTTTGTTTACTTTTCCTCCCACCCATCCCCATCAAGCCCCATAATACTCAGCATTCTCTTCCATTGTTGTTGTTGTTTTTCCCCTTTCTTCTTTTTCCCTTTCTGGGAAAAATCTTGAAATACTGTATGTCTCCCCCAAATTCACATGTCCTTTTAAAACATTCCTGGAATCCTCTCTATTGCTCTAATAAACAAAAAGGCCCCTGATGAATCTCTGCGGGACCAAGAACTGAAAGCCAAACGAGGGCTTTGCTGCATACAACTATCATTGTTATACCCAGTAATGTGAAGAAGTAGATGCACTAAGATGGAGCTTTAGCTGTAAAAAGATCAAGCAACACAGTTATCCACATCATATCAGAACAAGAATCAAACATACTAATTCATGTTATTTTTTATTTTTTTTTTAGCACCAAAAGCCATTTTGGCTACTTGCATTTCATGAAGCCAGAAAAGATGCATTACAGTCTAACCAACAGGGTTTACTCAAGGAACATTACTCTGACCTGTGCTATGAATGCTGAAGTTAAAGGCAAACCAGGGAAGAATTGAATGACAGACCTGACTTGGAGAAAGGAGTGGGGTGGGTGGGTGCGGAGGGACGGACAGCACTTTCTTGAGGTTTGCTGTGCATAATTTATTCCTTTATTAGCTCAGAGTTTCATTCAGTGATGCATTTAAGAAACACAACTGAAAACGAATGCTTGTTGTCAATTAAAGTTAACAGAGTTCATTGACCATATACACATTTCAGGAGGTTGGCAACTACCAGTGCTCAGATCCACAGCAGAACATTGTTTTGTCTTGGTGGAACCTTCTATATAACTGATGGTCTTTATTGATCTTTGTAAGTTGCAAAGTGTTTAGAATGCACGAAAGAAATCAACACAGTTGGAAGCGATTTGTGAATATACACCATCTATCTTTTAAATATTTTGGCTTTTTTCCAGACATGAATAAATCAGTGGTAACCGTGAAGTCACAACTGAGCTGATGGCATTCAGATTTTAGTACCATGAAATCGTGGGCAGAATCCTGCAGTTCCGTTTTGAATGTGCTGAATCAAGATAGAGTTCCTGTTGAGCTCAACACGTGCCTATTGAATGGTCCCAAATACAATCATGTGAGAATGTCCTAAATATTAGATCAGCTTCCCCCAGCTTTGTGTTTCCAGCCATGATGGGTGTTTAATTTCCATAGCTAATTGGTAACAGGCCTTTGGCTGGGTAATATGGGAGAGGCCCAAAATATATGAAAGGGTTAACTTCCTGGCAACGGAAATGCGGAGTACCATCTTAGTTCTCACAACATCAGATATGACCTCTAATCCTGGGATATGCCAAGTATATTCCTCTTTGCATTCATCGAGCCTGCAGATATGCTGGGACTTTGAATATTACCTTATAACCAAGGATTAACTATTCTTCATAGCAGACTGACAGGAAGTCTGAAGATGAAACATTGACATTTCTTGGTCTGCGGTTTGACACACAGCTCTTATTGGCCTACATTAAAGTGGTAAATTCACATATGTGTATTGTGTGCATGTACATGTATGTGAGGGGGAGGTGTACATGAGGGACAGAATGATTGTGGAGATGTATGACAAATTAGAAATTTGTTACCAGAAAGCTGTTGTCTGATTTGGAGGTTTCTATATGCAGAACGCCAATGATTTCCTGCAAAAGTATTCATGTATGCATTCTAAAAATATCCAAGAATAGTTTGACCATATAACTTGCAAAGTTTCTCTTAAAATTTATATAATAGCAATCACGGCCTTATTCATTCACATCTACATTGCAAGGAGCCCAAGAACAGGTTCACTGTGTACTGTGCTATTTGGGTCAGCTCAGCTATGGATACTCAAGCATTTTTCCAAAAAGTGAGAACTTTTCAGAGATAAACCTGCATCTCACATCAACTTATTTAGAAACAGGATGAGTGGGAGTATGACTTAAAAAACGGAGATAAGATCTGAGAGCAAGAGGGAGATCTTTAGAGACCAGAAGGGATCACTTTTGACAATCCACTCTATTCAAAATTAGTGTATCTTGTGTTCCGATGTATGAAAAAATCTAGTCTGTAAATTATATTGTTCCATTTCTCATAAGGTGAATCCTAAATGCCAACAAATGAGGAGGATATTTTAACTTTCTTGTTTCTTCTGTAAAAAAACTTCCTCAACCATCTCATCTATAACTCATTTTCAAGCACAGATCAAAACTCCTTCTTTTCCTTTGATTATATATGGATATTCTTTTCTGATTCTGAAAGGTTAGATAATTGTCTCTGATTTTTGACATATTTTGTAACAGGGCAGTTCATAAATGTTATTTATATGCTTTTAATATTATTCAAATTAGATGTTGAGGGTCACCATATTTCAACAATGGTGCCTCAAATTACCTTTTTTTTTAAAAAAAAACCCAAACAAATTAATCCTCAAAACCACAGTTCTATTTGTTACGCGTCCACAATATAAAACATTAAGGGCACATTCCTGTTTACACAGAATTAAGGCAACTGAATTCAGTAGCACTGACTTACAGTTAAATGTGCATAATTAGGATAATTAACACATCATTAACTCACAGGATACTGTGAATTGTAGTCCCACCTTAAATTTGAAAGCTAGCTGGGTGATCTTGGGCCAATCATTCCCTCTGAGTCCAACTCACCTTACAAGGTTGCTGTTGTGGGAAAAATAGGAGGAGGAAGGAGTGTTATGTATATTCCCTGACACTTGAATTACCTGTAAAGTAATAAAGGAAGGCAGGGGAATTTTTTAAAATAAATAAATAAATAAATTGCTTTCGTGTGCTATTGTGTCTGACAGATTTGGATTCCCCACAGTTTTTGGCACTGTCAAAACCTTTGCAATAGTTGCTTTTGTTAGTTCAGACATATCATAAGTAACTCATGCTAGTTCAGGCCCCTTGGGCTATAAAGTGTCTAAGTCATTGTCCTTATTTGTAGGTGTTCTTTAACTTTTGATAATTATGTTTGCTATTCTACAAAGAAGACAATGTGTTGACCTTGAATTTCTTTACTTGGAGTGTGCCCCACTGAATCAAAAGTAAGTTAGTCTAGTAGACAGACAGAGAGTGCTGCCTGCATTATTTCAAAAGAATAGAAATCTTGATGGGTTTTTATAGTTGGAATTAACAGTCCCTGACCCAGTTAAGAAGCCAAATTCTGATCCAATGAAGAAATGAATTCTACATGGGCACATCTCATATTTTTCATTACAAAGTATGTAATGTGGCTTTCAAGACGTAGGAAATAAATGCGAAAAGAAAATGTTTTCAATGGAAGCATTGGAAGTTACTTTGATGTGAAGCATTCTTGACGAATGTATCTTTTCTTTTATGTACACTGAGAGTGTATGCACCAAAGACAAATTCCTTGTGTGTCCAATCACACTTGGCCAATAAAGAATTCTATTCTATTCTATTCTTTCAAAGAATCTGTAAAAATCATACTGAAGATTGTTCACTGAGAAGAGGCAAGTGGACAACATCATAGATACAAAGTGTGAGCTCCCAAACTCACATATCTAATGACTGAATTGTATTCCATCTGATATATTTTTGGGAAATGATGGTGGTTACAGTATGAACACAAAAACAAGAAAAGGCTACTTGAATTGCATAGTAGTTAAGGGAGAACTGGATGCAACCCAGGTCCCATCTATGCTCCATTTGGTATAACTTAATCAGGATGCACAGGATAAAATTGTAAATTCAGCAAAAGCAATAACTGATCTTAAATGGTGGCAAATTAGACCACTGAAATGTGTGCGTTGCACCATTTTTTAAAATGATCCTGTTTGTAAAAACCAACATAGCTAGGGAAAGAACTTGAGTTTCACACATGCGTTACTAACTAGGCTCCCAAATCAGAATCCACCAAAACTATAAACTCAGCCTTAGGTCATTGATTTAAGTGCAACTTGGAGAGACACCTCACGTTACTTCGGTATTTTAATTTAAAATTAAAATTGGTCATTTAATCTTATGACATTCCCCTGACAGAATAATATAGAAATCATAGCGAGAAATGACAGGAAGAATAAGGGCAGATTAAGTGTGGCGTTTCTAAAATTCTCCCCACGAGACAACCATATGGTTGCAACTTTCTTATATTAATGGAGCTGGGACTTACTCAAGAAGTGTGATTCCTGAAGACAAAGGACTAGATCAGCAGCTGACTTATCCTTCAATAGTAGTGACAGAACCATCTCACATTAAATTAGCAATCAAGTTCAGGTGACACAGAGCAGAGTGCAAAAGCAGACACAACTCTGTTCTGCCATCAAGGATTGTCATTTCTTTCCTCTCCTTAAACATCCAAACTTGTTTCCTGAGATAGGGTTAATAGCAAGGCTAGACACGCTGCTAGGCTGCAAGATGGCAGAATTGGAGGACTAGAAGCCACGCCTTTCCTGGAATGTGAGAATTTGGTTTTCAGTCAATAATTAAATTAATTGTTTGTTATTAACTGAAAACCGCAGCGGTGGCCTTCTATGAATGGAGAAAAACATTAACCAAGTTAAAAGCATGTTGTAAAAACTTTCATTTTTGGCTGCTTCAGCAGCACCGTAAGGTCACTTGCTGAGGAGATAAACAAGGACAAAACCTCTTTTGGCAAACGTGCATCTTGACCAAGGACGATGAAGCTGAGGACGGATAACCCAAGAGTAAAAGATACTTGGAATTGCTGCTAGGAGACTTGCAATGAAAGAAGGTGTTGGAAAGAACCATTTCAACCTCTCTTTCTGACTTTCTCCCCATTAAATTTTATAACATTGACTTTATTATGACACACAGACCTTACAAGGCTTTCAGAGACAATGGGTTTTTTTTTTTTGTTCCTGTTGACAGCAATACATGCAAACAGTTTGCTTAGAACCAGTGACTTCTACAGTAAGAGGAACAACAATGGAGGCGCCAATATTCCTGATCCTCTTGTCTCACTGACAAAGAGGAAGAACCAGTGAGACAGTTTTAGGATGCTTCATCTGTTGAATTCACCAAGGCTGAAACCCTGCCCTCCCCTTCCCCTCCCCTTCCCCTCCCCTTCCCTTCCCCTGCCCTCCAATTCACAATTTTAAGTTTGTACATATTTTTACAGGCATTTGGATTAAAAAAAAAACCAGTTACATCTGGAAGGTACTGATATGAAAATGAAACATAGAACAAGATTTTTTTCCCTATTTATATAAAGCATTTCATGAGGGAGTGAAAGAAAGGAGACAGAGCTAATGGTATTAAATTTTTTTTCAAAAAAGTGGAATTGTACCTATGATCCACAGGGCCTCCAAAATTTGAATAACTGCAAGGAACAACTTTTAGAACTTACACTTTTGTCTTTTTGAGGGATCTAACCCCTGCAATACAGAGCAAATATGACTTTGCCTAATGAACGTGAGAGGTATGCATTCTCTTAATGAAAAACAATTGCAGTTGTGAGCTGCTGCACACCCAGATTCAACCTTGTAGAACTTCAAGAACAAGGATTACAGCTGGAATACCTCAAGAGGGGAGAATAGCAAGATGGACTGCCAACTGAAATGTTATTTGGAAATTCTAGGAGTCCCAGCACTTTTGGAGAGATAAATAAAAATTGGAATGGTTGAGCGAGGTATTTAGGAGCAACGATATTGAGGAGAAGTTAATACAGTTTTTAAATTATAAACTGTTGATACAAGAGCCTATAATCTTTTTTGACAACCGATCTCCCTTGTAATTTTAACAACATGCTTTGGGAACTTTCTCAGCATGACAGCTATGGTGGCCACAGCTAATCACAAAACACTGATTTACTACCACTAATTCTGACTTCCTAGGATTTTCTGCATAATAGCTTAGCTTACTGTTTCCTTTCATCTGGATGGGTAGGCTCACTTCCAGACATTGAGTGGCAGACTCTTAGCATTTTTATTTTCTATGGAATGACTTTGGGATCCATGTCAGACACGGAGGCATTGTTGGGAATACAGATTATGCTTGAAAATGGTAGCTCCTTTATAGAATGCAAATTGTCTTTGGAAGCAGATGTTAGGGATTGCTGAGTGTTCAACAATAATAGTTTTTCAGTGATTACTTTCTCTTGAATGATAGAACTATGCACTCTATATTAACCTGCTATTCTCAGAAACAGGGGTGGATATTGGTTCATTGCCCATGTAAAGTTCAAATACTATTCCAATTGGTTTTTCCTAGATAGAAAGAAATAATAGTGCCATCTTGCCCTGCTTTTGGTAACAAAATATTTTGGGACAGCCATGAACCTCATCCTACCTGATCAAAGTTAAGTCAATTCATCTACAGAATGACTAATACGCACCCTGTGGTAAATTACCACTATAGTAAGTTACCACTACAGTAAACAATTGGTGATATTCATCAGCATCTCAAAGTAAGGTCTAACTGCACTATGAAATAAGGCCATATAGAATAGGAATCTCACACAGACATCTCAACACTCTCACTAAACCACAGTTCCCAAATGGTTTGGGAGAAGCAATAAAAAACTAGCATAAATCTGATTAAAATTTTGTAGCGTAGATTCAGCTTTACTATGAAATCCTTAAAATGAACCTGTAGTGTACTACAGTATAGGATGTATACTATACATCCCAAAGATTTCAGGTTCATGCTACAATATTAGTTCCTTCCCCCCCCCCCCCCCAGTTATGATTAAGATAAAGGCGGGTGGCCATTTTGATTTCATTGTAAAGTATTTTCCCAAAGAAACCAAGGGAGGTCACAGATTCATCATTAAACACATTCAGCCAAACAGCAATATTCTATAAGGTCACCTGAACACTTTGAAATTCTTCAAAAATTACATATATACATCTACATACAAATATGCACATATACAAGTATATCTGTGACTTTCATTTAACTTCATGGTGGCACTTCAATTAAAATATATTCTCATCAGAGTTGCCTTTAGCAGGGTACCAGACTAGGTACAGACCAAATGCAGTATTTAATAGGAGCAGCTGCTCATATGTTCCTACAGTGTAGGAAACAATTATGCAAACAGAAAGCAGAAGGCCTTAAACCTAGAGCTCTTGCTTAGGAAAAATGTGAGAAGGAAAAGGTGAAAGAGGACACTCTGTGACTTCTTAAGATCAGAGGCGGCAACTTTCTGTTCTTTACTTTTTAAAGTCTAATAAATCTATTTTAGTTCTTTCTTTTCTTTGTTGAGGTTCATGCTTCATGGTAGCATCATCAACAATACCTTTCCAAAGTTTTACCATCTCTAAGCTAAGTTTTCATACTAGCTGCCTGAAAATCTTAAAAGTTCAATGTGTTTCGCAGGTTGAACCCGAGGAGTCACAGGTAAGGACAACCGAATTCATAGGATTGTATTTTCACCTATTTTAGCATTGAGTGTTAAGCTATGTATTGCAGCTCCTGTGAAGTGGAAGTTTTATGCAGGTGTAATGAGACCTCCTACTTCTTCAATATTCAGCATAATCCATAGTGTATGTAATTGGTATTGCAAACCATACAAAACATCTCAGAAAATCACTCCACCTAGTTAATGTTTTTTAAACCTAGATTTAGTTTTGCTGAATATGTATTATTATTATTATTTTATCAGTTATTAAATGCCAGGGATAGATTAGTCTACTTCCCTATCGTAAGAGTTTACTTAGAGTAGTGGTAATCATCATTGTAATTTACTAGAGGTGCCAGCCTTCTGGAAAAGAAATAGTGAACTGAAAACAGCTTCACTAAAAGAAACCACAGTAGAATGAAGAGTCAGCAAACAGACTGAGTCTTGGTAATTCCTCTTTGGACAAGGAGAGGATATGAGATCACTCATAACTGCTCCAGATAGTTGGTTTTTATAAGAAGACCACAGGACAGTGATCTCTGGTAGGTTTAGAGCTCTGGAAGATGATGGAATGAGCCATCTTACTTATTCAAAAGGACACTGGATTCACATATTTCTTCACATATTTCTTTTTCCAATCACTTTTGGAAATTGCTTTTTAACTGCTTTTCAGCTATTAGGATTGATAGTGCACTGGTGAATTTCCTTCAGTCTTCAGTGCAATAAGTTTTAAATACAAATTTAAAAACTTAAAAAATATATTTGAATAAACAATAAAAAAGTGATTAGAACTTTGATTTTTCAAAGTTACAAATGGAGCATGGGGCCATATAGATTGGAAATAAATTTTTAGAATTAATGATAAGAATTCTTGTAAGAAATTGCTTTTGTTTTGAATTCTCTTAAAATATACTTATATATACAAGATGAGATTTTGAAGGTTGGACACTAGAAGGAACCAGAAAGAACAGAAGATTACAATTAAGGGAGAAGAATACTTACATTTGACTAAAACAGAATGAAGCAAAAATGTTTTAACATTGGACATGCTGAAGGATAGTTTTGAACAATCAACCCAGAAATTAATTTTAAGAGTGTCTGCTTCTGTAGACAGACTGTGTTTAAAATATATTATGAAACAGTTTTAGGACATTATTTGAAGTGACCAAAGAACAAGATTTTTAAATAAAAGGAAGAAATACAAAGCTGGTTTATTTGATCAAGGTTAAAATAGATATGTTGTTATCTCTGGTAACTTAATGGGTTTGGCTGATCAGGGCTGAAACAAGGAATTTTTAAGGATTTGTTTAAGCATAGGAGATGAGATTTGGGAAGAAGGGATCATTTATTGTATTTTAGGAGAAAGTGATAAGTTATTAAAGTTGTTTATACTTGCTATGATGAAGGGGAAAGTTATTTCAGTATATATTTCTCTTCTTTTTTTAAAACTATATTCTTGTTTTTCTTTCTCATTTATCTTTCCATTTTTTCCTTTTTCCACTATTTTTGATTTTTATTCTCTTTTTAGTTTGCATTAGTTTTTTATTTTTGTTTTGTTAATAACATTATTTTAAAAAAAAAATACTGGTGGTAGATTACGCCCCATCAATTGAACCAAAAGGACTTTTGCCACCTTTCCTCTGAATTCTTCATGAAAATAGTTTTCCTCAGAATGAAATTTTGTACAAGGATAGACTTCTTGTGCTGCTGTGCCAAAGATAGCAAGACCACTTTACTGACAGTACCCTGTACTGAGGCGTGTTCTGTCCCAATAATTCATTTGGGCCTGGTGAGTGTCCTGACGTTTTGCTCTGATGACCTGCAAGACATTGTCATCTGCTCTACAGCACATCAATGGCTGACATTCTGAGGAATCATTACTCCTTATGCCTTAATACGTTTAGTCTGTAAAGTGCCACAAGACTTATATTTCATATTGTAGATGCCACATTAAGATCTTAAAATAGAGTTATTTAAGGAGAAAACATAAAAATCCTCTCATTTTAATATTTTGTATGTTTTTAAAAAGTAGTAAATTGATGAATAAATGGCAAATGTATGAAAAAAGGCACTCAACTGATGGACTTTTTCTGTAAAAATAGTAATGGCTAACATGCAGAATCAAAGTTTCCTGCCATCTCCTGAGAGACACAAATAATTCAGCTCATTCAACCTGGTTGCAGAATTCCAGTTTTTTCCCCCCCCAGACCATTTGACTCTTATTTCAATATTGGTGATTGAACATCTTATGAAATTCAACCAAAAACATCCTAACCCTATTACCTTGTGTTATACACAGGTAATCCTTCTTTAAGGAAGCCAACCTTGGGATGCAACTCTTAAAATAGCCAACTCTTAAAATAGGTGGATGGTAATAGATAGGAGAAGTCTGGCATCAATTGCAGGCACACAGAATGGCATTTATTTATTCCAGTTTTTATATTCTGGTTTTCTGCCAACATTAAAAAGAAAGTGGTGGACCCATATTCCTAACTGATCTCTTATCTAACCACTGAGATTTTCAACATTAAAGGTTTTTTTCCTGACAATTCCTTTATTCTGCTTTGCTTCTGAAACTGTCTGCAGCACCAATTACATTTTTTTTTTTAACCTCCTGCAGTTAAAATCAAGGAAACGGGAGTAAGTCACTAGGACTGAGCTTGAGTTGCAGGAGATTTGGCCGACCTTGTTACTCAGATTCTAATTTCCCTGAATTTATGGAAAATATAGGCATTGGGCCTGTAGCTTTAGAGAATGGATAGAAGAACTGCTTCCACATCAGAAATATTCTATGCTGTTATTGAATTCTATATTGCTGTGCTCCGAAGCAATTATAATATTCTTTGCATTTTTGTTCATTTTCCATTGCATGATCTAAATCTGCATTGAGGGTTTTCTTCAGCCAAAGGAAAGGATACAAGGACTTCAATTTTGTAGGGATTCCCTCACCCCTCTATTCCTATGGCATGCCTTGACTCTCCATTAATCCAATTTAATTTCAACAAAATCCATGATGTACAAGATCATCTTCCTCCAATTGCTTCAGTAAATAAATGAGATTTGATCCACTAAATAATAAACGTTATTTACATGGGCTGGGCTGATGCAGGATTAGCATCATTCCACTGCCCCCCTTATTCACTGTCAGTCTTAGGGAGATCTTCTGCAACTGAACCAATTAATTCTGAGTCCATCACTGCTGAAGATAACATTGCAACATCTCCTGGAGAGGAGAGGTGTGGAGCAAGCTACTTCCCATTGACTGGAAAACTTCATCCTATTTTTCCATTGCCCAGGCTCTCTCCTCCATTTTGTTACACCTTACTACTATTCCCTCAACTTCTTCAATATATATTTGCTATTTCTTCCTTGAGCAGTGTTTAAAATCCTCCCCACCTTAACTGCAAAACAAGGATGGTGACAAGACTACCAAGTTTTGCATTCCCCCATTAATGCAGGGTCCTTTCTGAAGGGTTCTTTCATGAAGTTTCTGATTCATCAGCATTAAAGACACATGTAGAGTGGCATGACTGAAATTCTGGGTCCAGAGGTAGAATCTGACATTAGTGGGAATGCCCTTACAGGCACCCCAAAACTGTGCTTTTGATGTGGAGAGAAATTATGCAGTTCATTCCTTTGTATGGTAGCAGGACTGAATTAAAGCCAACTGATGCCCTAAGCACAGCCCCAAATATGGTGCCCTTGGCCCCTCCACTGCTTAACTGACACATTAAGGCTCAATGCTGAAAACTAAAGTCAAATGCATCCGTGAAAGAATTAAAGGCATGATAACTGGGAGGAAAAAAAATGATGTGGTGGCCCCTTCCCTTGGTCCCCTAAAAGCATGTGCTTCCTTTGCTTAATGGTTAATCCAAGGCTGAATGGTAGACCCACACATTATAACCACATGGTTTATCTGCATGTGTAGCTACGATGAAAAGAGACATCAAGAAGATGTTGCTACATGGGTTAAATACTTCAGAATATACTTGGAAAGACTGTTTATATGCTATCTGTGCTTGCTTTTTGTCTTTAAAGGAAAGGATACTTCTGTACTGGTAGTTTTATTTTATGTCACGAGGTACTAAAAATAGAAGTGTGGTTCATTTGTTTTGGCAAATCCATCCTCCAATGTTACGCTACTATTTTCCTCTGAAGTTCATTATCATATGCAATTAGTTTGTGTGTCTACTCCATTGTCTTGTTTATCCTCTCTATGCCAATCTCTATAAGGACTAATCAGATCCCAGTTTTTTTCTGGATCATAAGTTGTTATTTTCGTTACCTTAACTGTATCCAGATCTTTAGCACGAATATTTAACAGGAGGAGTCAGGTATAAATAAGTGGGGAAATAGTAAGAAATAAGGAGAAGAGAGGAAACAGATGAAAAGTATGTGTGTGTAGGGGCACACTCGGTGGGCAAAGTCAAACTGATGGCCACAAAGGTGTGTTGAAATTCCATCCATTTTTAATGGGTGATACACATACAAACAAACAAATCTTCAATCACAACATTTCAGCTATCAGTTTGACTTATTTAACCACACCTTACTAATACCCCTGTGGAGGAATTATCAAATCACAATCAAAAGTTTTTTTGTTTTTTTTTTAATGAGGAATGGAATTCCCTTCTCTCCTTTTCAATGCCTTCTGGTCTACATGTTTTCTCATCTTTGTTTATTTATTGAATTTATTTGCCACCTATCTCATAGCAAACATCTCTGGGTGGCAAGTAAAAGGCTCAGAAAATCAGGTAGTTTATGATAACTGCACGGACATCTGTTCTTGGTGCACATGGACATAAGAAGGAGCACCGTGTATTACAATCCTTATTATTTCCATTCCTTCAGAATTCCCCCATCACTGCAATGGCTTTTACCCAAATGATTGTAATTAACAAAACAATGGCATAACAACAATGACAATCTCTGTCCAGACTCCTCCTGCACAGCCAACTTGACGATCAAACAACCACAACGCCCACATTCCCTCCCCTTACCACCCACAATGGCTTCTTCTATCCACCATCAGATGGTTCTGATTCAGATGGTTCCAAGGCAAGGGGGAGATCAGAGGCAGAACCAAATCCAGACCATGAAATGTGCAGCCTCCAAACTGGCTTTTCCTCATCCATGCATAAGTCTTGACACCTTTTGTTGCAATCACAGTGAGGAGAATTTGGTAGAAGATCACATGGAAACGCCAGGTTTACTTTTCTTTCTTTCTTTCTTTCTTTTTTTTTTTGAAAAAAAAAAGTGGGCTGGAAGGGGAGTTATACACTATGCATCACAGCATTTCAGTTAGACTTTCTCTTGCAATTCTGCCAACAGTTTAGCCTTGTCAATTAAGCCTGGCTGTAAGGCAGAGGGAAGTTAAAACAGCATGGTTAAAGCATCCACTCAAGGATCCTCACTTGAAGTTTTGTTCTGTAAGAATCTTGGCTGTTTTTTTTTTTTTAAAGTTTAGCAAAGAAAGGGAAACCTGCCTTAATCTTCTGGTTCATTCCTCTTTGATGGAACAGGCAAGGTTTAAAAGAAAAAAAAATCCATATGTGAACAGAGGGATTCTGAAGATGACCTTGAGAAGGTTAAATTTTAGAGAGGTAACTAAAGAGGTTCATTTATTTACTGTTTATGTTTCCCCAATACAGTGTTTTATTTATTTGTTGTTTTCTTTACTCCTTGTAAAAGTACCTTATACACCAAGATACCCTTTTCCCTTCCCTATCACATCACACCCAACTGGCGGTAGACAGATGTTCATTTGATGTTTGAAGTGGGATGCTGAAGATATTTTTTTTAGGAGCTGAATGGAAGAGCAATGTTGCAGAAAAGCTATTCCTTTCTCCAGGAAAAATAACAAGAACAATACAAAGCTGTAGAGAAGATGTAGGAGCCCCATTGGACTCCACTCTACCATGGCACTGGCAACTGTTTGAGATCTATATATAATATATGTTTATGTATATTAATTTATATTTATATATGTATAATATGTATATTTATAGGCTTGTTTGTACTTGTCTTAGCACACTGTCCCATTCTCAGGTCTCGATTTGGGGCAATTGGTCCTGGGGACAGGTTGAACGGAAGGGGCCAAGGTACAGAAGAAGCCAGAGATCAAAGTAAGACCTAAGCCTCCCCATGCACAAAACATGGACCAGCCGTAGCCATGACTGATGTCATCAGGGAGTCCATACAGGTACCGGGGGTATCGGGAGAGCTCAAAGTTGATTCCAGCTACACATGTGCACAGTGAAATTATGCAGAAGGTTCCTGGAAGAGAAGAAAAAAAAAAGACAAAAGACAAGGAGGAGAAAAAAACAGGAAGAATGGGTTAGAATTATCACAATAACTCTTTGCCCACCATCTAAAAAGAAAGTAGCTGGAGAAAGAACCGAGGAATCAGCAATGGATGACTCAGGAATTCTAGAATGCCAGTTAGTTTATTTAAAATATGGGATATAATATCAGTGGCACTTTCCTCTTGAACATTTCATCCTTCTGATAAAGCTCTTCTTTGCCAATGAGAGGCAATACTAAGAATACTCTGATAGCTACTCAAAAAGCCATGAGACTATACATTACCCTGGAAACATCAGAAGAGTTGATGTTGGAAGGCTGCGATAGCAAACAATTTTCCACATTATTGTCCACATGCTCATTAGGAGTCATCCATATGCTGGCTCAAGAGAAACTTTCTGCTATCTTTGCTTTACAGCTGAGTTCCTCAAAAGTTTGGAGAACTGGTAAATACCACCTCTGACTGCCCCCCCCATCTATTCTCTGTCTCCCGAGTCCCAGCTGAAGGAAGGAGGAAATGGGGATTTTGCAGTATCCTTCCCCTGGAGTGGGGAGGGAATGGAGAGTTTATAGTATCCTTTCCCTGGAGTGGGATGGGAATGGAGATTTTACAGTATCCTTCCCCTGCCATGCCCACCAAGCCATGCCACGCCCACCAAGCTATGCCCACAGAATTGGTAGTAAATTTTTTTGAATCCCACCACTGATTCAAGGCAGTATCATACATTCGTATGGTTCATACAAGTATACAACTTCAATGTTATTTGCTTCATCCTACTGTAATGTACTGATACAGCAATGGTCCTTCAAATCACTTGACCTTAGTATTATTCGAGTTCAATGTCTACTTTCTGCAACCAACATCAACATTACCTCTGCAGATTTGTGACAATGGGAATTGGTCCTCGGAGAATATTAGGTTACATGCAATAAGCTTTACAGTATGCAGTATTTATTTTTTCCCAGCAATGAAAGAGTTATCTTCATTTGTTATCCAGCTTTCAATGGCTGGAAAAAGACTCTATCTCTGCCCCAAATAAATGGAAAGAGTGAATACAAGTATGTTGAGAAATTCCATCATCATTCAAAGCCAAATAAATTGAAAGCACTCTTCCAACCGACAGAGGTAGGATTAAATCACCTAATTCTGTTCCCATTCCAAATTCTGAATATGTACAGCGCTGTTTGATTATTCAGTTTTTTTGCTTTCCTGCTTGATATGTAGCAAAGATGAACAATATCAAAATGATACAATAGAAAGCAGATAAGGAACAGATAGCATGTACTTGCTGCCCATTGTCTGGAGGGGCTAATGGATATTCTGAATAGCTAGCTATTATTTCCATGCAATTCCAATCAACAATCAGTCAATAGTAAGAGGACCTCATTTAATTTTCTTATGACCTGCCATGAAATATGAGTCAATAAAAATGTGCTTCAAATTTCAGATCTCATTAGGAAAGAAGATATTTCATTAGTAATTAAAACCTCTGGTTCCAGGTTCTACTGGCGGAGTTAAATGATGGTTCTCTTAGGATAAATCAACTTTACTTTCTTGCTTGATTGGTTTGTGATTATGATCCAGAGGTGGGTTTCAGCAGGTTCTGACCAGTTCTGGAGAACCGGTAGCGGAAATTTTGAGTAGTTCGGAGAATCGGTAGTAAAAATTCTGACTGGCCCCACCCCCATCTATTCTCTGCCTCCCAAGTCCCAGCTGATCAGGAGGAAACGGGGATTTTGCAGTAACCTTCCCCTGGAGTGGGGTGGGAATGGAGATTTTACAGTATCCTTCCCCTGCCATGCCCATCAAGCCACGCCCACCAAGCCATGCCACGCCCACCAAGCCACACCCTCAGAACCGGTAGTAAAAAATTTTGAAACCCACCACTCTTATGATCCTATATGAGTATGATAGCTCTTTCTTTCCACTTCAATGGAGATAGAGCCATGTTTCCGGTACAGCAAGAGACTTGAAGTTGGGTCTTCAGTACATCATTGCTGCCATACTACCGGATTATATTCCTTTTCGTTTTAAAATTGTACTTTAGAGCAGACACTGTGGTTCAATGACATTGAATTTATGTGACTTTACTGCATTGCAAATGGGGAAGAATCCCAAACGATGCTCTGTCAACCAAATAAGGAAGCACAGCAAGCCGATGCAGTCTGTTGGCTGAAATCTCCTCATTGCATCCAGGTATGCAAGGGACATTTCCTAAACAATTCACTTGATTTCTCACATGAGGTCCATGTATCACCATCATAGCCTGAATCCTAGACCAGTGGTTTTTGCTGACTTTCATATTTTTGATTAAAAATAGACACAAGCTTCATTCATGCAATATATTTAACAAGGCCAAGTAAATGTAACATGTTAAAGTTGGATATTATTGACTTCAGTAGTTTTAGGGGGGGAGGACCTATTTTTGACTTATTGACTTCTGCAAAAAAAAGTCCGTTTATTTAGATTATAGTTTAGTGTATGATACTCAAAAATGAATAATTCAATTAACTATGTAAAGCTGGTGTTTAATTGCAGCCAGGAAGGTTGCCTGAGCACAGATGATTCAGCACTTTCCAAGATAACCACAACCACAATCTCTACCACCTTTTGTTCTAATTTTTTCTGGGTGTAAAAATGTAAGCGTTTAAATATGGAATAGGAATCCTGCAGAGATTGTTGAAATTTATTTTGTCTGTCAGCCCCAGCAATGTGGCCCAATGTCCAGGGAATTAGGTTTGGGGAATTTCAAGTCCTCCTTCATCTCATTGATTGACTTTAGGATCGCTATGGTGCTGGAGAAGACTCCTGTGAGTCCTTTGGATTGCAAGGCGATCAAACCGGTTAGTCCTAGAGGAGATCAACCCTGACTGCCCTTTAGAAGGCCAGATCCTGAAGATGAAACTTAAATACTTTACCCACCTAATGAGAAGGATAGACTCCCTGGAGAAGAGCCTAATGCTGGGAACGATTGAGGGCAAAAGAAGAATGGGACAACAGAGAACGAGGTGGCTGGCTGGAATCACTGAAGCAGTTGGCGTGAGCTTAAATGGACTCCAGGGGATGGTAGAGGACAGGAAGGCCTGGAGGAACCTTGTCCATGGGGTCGTGATGGGTTGGACATGACTTCGCTACCACCACCACCAACAACAATAACAACATTCTCTTAATTCAAACTATTTCATAGGCTTTGTGGAGAGAAAAAGAAATGGAGGAAGAAATCTTGTTTGTTGTCTTGAAGTTCCCATCTGTGTATCTCTCCATCCATTGATCCTTCTATTAATCTTAGAGATGCTACTTGGTTAAAATTCAAATTAACCAAAGATCCTGTTCCCATGTGGCAAAGTGTATATAATACATTATACTTTAAAATAAAAGTGTTATGATGCATACAAACATTTGGACAAAGTTTTTTCATGTCTGTCTATCCATCCACCTACCTATTTGCCTCTTATGAAATGTGTATATATGTAGGCTATACAAGTACACCCAGTTTATTCCTGCCAGTTTTTATTTATATCACTGAGAAATATCAGGAACACTCAAGAAAAACATAAAGTGGATCTGACCCAAGAAACACAGTCTCCTTTTTAGCTTCTTAAATTATCCCATTGCCTTATCACAGCGTTGTCAAACTCAATTTCATTGAGGGCTGCATCAGGGCCATATCATTCATTGAGGGCCAGGGTGGGTGTGGCCAGCTCAACATCACTCGTGTCGGGGGCGCCTGTGGCGGCCCAAGCGCTCTGCCAGCGAAAACGGGCTCCTGAGCTCTGTTTTCAGCTGCAATGACTTCTTGCAACCCTCTGCCAGTGTAAATGGAGCTTGGGAGGGCCTCCCTCAGCCCTTGCGAACTCTATTTTAGGTTGCGAGGGCATCCTGCAACCCTCTGCCAGTGAAAACAGAGCTCACGAGGGCCGCATGCAGCCCTCACGAGCTCTGTTTCCGCTAGCAGAGGCACCGCGGCCTAGTCCTGTGCTGTTTCCAGGGCGGCCCTGCAGGCCCGATCTAAACCCCCCCAGGCCAGATCCAGCCCCTGGGCCTTGAGTTTGACACCCCTGCCTTATCAAATCATTGAAGAATGCGGCCCCGCTCTCTCCCTGCTCCATTGTGAGAAACCCCATTCTGCTGAAGCAGCTTTGCAGCAAGCTCCTTCTGTGCATGAATTAAATGCCTCAGCAGCACGAGGCTCCTGAGAGCTCTTTATTATTTTGGCACACACTTGTATAGAATATAAATGATTGTTTAATTACACACTATAGCCTCATCATTGGCTAACAGACGGGCATGTGACAGACAAGGTTTAGTTTAAATCTGCCCTTACTTATTTATTAAACTTCTTTGGAAAGAGCAAACAGACCAACTGACTAATACAAGGCCGATGTGCTTTGTGAAATCATAAATCCTTCACACATTTTTACTGAAAAGCCAAAGCAAAGCAAACCAGCTTCCCCACTGCTATGGATCACAATAGAGAACGAAGATCCTGTTAATATGGAGAATCTGGGCCAGTTCGTGCAGGTTGCCAATTCAAAAGAACAGCTGCATTCCTCCTCAACTTTGGGCAGGCCAATAGCCATAAAGAGAAAACTCAGTGTGAACTAGACTCTGGTCTGAGCTTCATCTGTCCTCTTTTTGGAGAAGCAGTTTTTAAAAATGCAATCACAATGGCTGAAAGTGTCTCTGGCAATCTTCTGCCCCAGGTTGGCACAAGCTGGTTTGATACTTAGCAAACCAGGCTGGCACAAGCTCAGATTCGCCAATTGTAATTTGGCAGCTCCATGGCCTTTTAAAGAGTGTCAGTGATTTGGGGGATGAATGTCAATTCGAACTCCCTCTTCCTGGCTTTCTTGTACTGCATCCAATAGCAATATTTTTTTCTCCACTGTTTTCCTCTATTCCAGTCAATAGCCCATTAAATGAAAGTAAGAAAGTAAATTTATGAACTCGGTTTTCCCCCAGTTAAAGGACT